AAGATTTAAATTCAAATTTCCCTCTCTATTAATGGATCACAAAATTATAGATTTCAAAAGAAAAAATAGCAAAAGAAAAATATTATACATTACAGGTGCTTCAGAAATTATGTCCCCTGGCTATGGCGGAGATGAGAAAAGAAAAAAAAAATATGAAGGTCAAGAGACACAAATGAGAATGAAGATAACCCATATACAAGGAACTAAATTTTTGTATGAAATTTACAGACCTAGCAGGTAATGTTTATCTCATACCTAAATATTCATATTTACATACAAAACAACTTTCACAACTCGCATAGATTATACTCTGTGTTGAATTTGTTCTATGAATCACACTCAAGGAATAGAGTGTTAGGAACCAAAAGGGAGACTCGGATAGAGAGAGAAAGAGAGGAGATAGAGAGTGTGTGTGCACAAAGATTTGGCCATAAGGGCCAAAACAGGGTATTCTTAGGCTCTTTGACCTATTTTATTTTTTCAAATAAGAGGGTTACAAATGGGGGAATCTAAAAACGAGTCTCAACACATGAAAAGATGTTCTATTTATAAATGATAGTAGAACAAAAGGTAAAATTACAATGATTATCTTGTTTAGAATGTGTAGTAAAGGGCATTCTGATATTTTGTCTGTTGGAGTCTATCATTCGAGAACTCATCGGTTCGTGGAGTTGGCCTTCAATCGGTTGGTCAACCTACTATAGATGGATGACTGGTCAGTTGGGCAACTGACTATGGGTGGTTGGCTTGTCAATGGTTTGGCTGACTTTGGGTGGTTGGCTGATCAACTGGTCAGCTGGTCGGTTGGGAAGATGACTGTGGTTGGTCGGTTGGTCATGTGGTTAGTTGTGTGATTGACTATTCGACAGTTCAGCTGGTCAGCTGATTATGGGTGGCCTGTTAGTTGGCTTATTGATGAACTATAAGTGGTCGACACATCAGTTGATCAGTTGGATGTCAATGGCTGAATGATTGGTAGGCTGTGTGGTGGCTGACTAGTTGGCTGGATGTTTATGGCCTATTGGTCGACTGACTATGTTGTGGTTGGTTCGTCTCTGCTACTGTCAAATTTCATCGAGATCTACACGAGCATTTTTAACATACATAATAGTCCCAGAGTCTCTTAGTTTTTGAAAAAATTATGATAAGAATAAGAGACTGCAAATACAAAAAATACGGTCACACTGATGCACCAGTTGTATTTCTTTGGGGCTTTGCAATATTTTGCACCAAAATTTTGCTGGCTTCGAAGCACTATCCAGAGATTTTTTGGTCGACTTTTGCTCTTTGTTGATTGACGACTTTGGCGATCCGACCCCTTGGAAGACTGTTTGTAGGTTTTGGATATAAGATCACCCAACTCGAGTCTTACTACTCGCCCATCCTATTTGCTCGACCAGATTGTCGCCTCGGTCGGGCCGCACCTTTCTCCAGGACTTACATAGATCTTGTCACTACTTTTGTGGGTTTAATCGTCGAGACTCATTACTGGGATGATTTGTGTCGTACACCTCTACCGTTCACAAAGCTTTAAGAAACCACCTCTAGAGCTCTTTCTGTGTTGAGTTTAGAGACGAGTTTTTTTATGCTTCGAGCATTAAGAGTTGATTTCTTTATGCATCTCATATGTGGATGTCTCTGTGTAAGATTTTCTCCTCATTGGAGTGCTACTCTTCTTGTTGGTGACATAGTCCACACTCACCGCACCTTTTAGGACGTTGACTTTAGATTTATCCTATAAATCACACCAAAAAGATATAGCATTGGGAACTAAGAGAAAGAAACAAAGAGAGGGGGAAAGAGAAGAGAGAGAGAGAGAGAGAGAGAGAGAGAGAGAGTAAACGGAGACTTGCCCTTGAGAGCCAAAATATGGTATTATCGGGCTTTTTGGCATCTTTTAATTCATCCAATGAAAGAGTTACAGGGGGGGGGGGAATCCAAAGAAGGGTACCAAAACATGAAATTGTCATTCTTATTTAAAGATGATAGGAGGACAAAATGTGAAATTACAACATTAGTCCTGCTTAAAAAAGGTAGTGCATGACATTCTAATTTTTTGTTCCTTGAAGCCTATTATTCGAGAGCTCATCGATTAATGGAGCTTACCTTCAGTCAGCTGGTCGACTAGCTGTAAATGGTCACTTGGTCGACTGGCTATAAATGGTCGGCTGGTCGGATAGTCAACTAAATATGGGTAGTTGGCTGATCGGTTGGTTTGCTGGATGTGGGTGGTCAAATGGTTGGGTGGTTGTGTGATGGTCGGCTGGTCGGCTGGATGTGGGTGGTCAATTGGTTGGTTGGTCATGTGGTGGTGACTGGTTGGCTGGATGTGGGTGCCCGGTTGGTAGGCTAGTTGTATGGTGGCTGGTCAATCAGCTAATTTGTCGGCCAGCTGGTTGACTGGCTGTGTGATGGCCGACTGGTTGACTGGTCACCTGGTTGGTTGGTACATGTGGTGGTGACTGGTTGGCTGGATGTGGGTGCCGGGTTGGTAGGCTAGTTGTATGGTGGCTGGCCAATCAGCTAATTTGTCGGTCAGCTAGTTAACTGGCTGTGTGATGGCCGACTCGTTGACTGGTCACCTGGTTGGTTGGTAGTGTGGTGGTTGACTACATATGGGTGTCATACTGGTCGGCAAACTGTGTGGTGGCTAGCTGGTTGGTTGGATGTGGGTGGCCTGCAAGTTGGCTAGCTGTGTGGTCGTCGATTGGTCTCTGTTCCCATTGAATCTCTAAAGTTCTATGCGGGTATTTTTTGACATGCACTCTGGAAGGTTGCTTGATAGTAGACTTAAAAACACAAGAAGCAGGGAAGGAAGGGGAGGTAGAACCTTAGTGACAGTCGCACAGATGGAGAAGCTAGCGTGAAGTTAAGAAGTGGTATATTTGATTAACGGAGAAGATAGGTAGTGTTTGACTGTGACTTAGATTTACGTTATATAGGATCTATCAAATCTAATAAATTTGGATTTATCAGATCGATGGTATGACAAAAGAACTCGTGAGCTACAACGAAATAAATCCAACAAACAATATAATTTATTAAATCCAAATTTACATCCTAAAAATGATGGAATGCAAGAAAAGGAAAATGAAATGCAAGAAAATTGGATTTAGTTTTATTTTTCAAATTCATGGCTAAATCCCATTAGAATGCTACCAAACACGGCTTTAGGGTGGTAAATTTGTTATATTAAAATTTAGGATACTAAATAAGTGAAATATGTAGTTTTGAATGGTAATTTGAAACCAGGTTCAGTTCCTAGAAAAAAAATATTATGCCCAAACTCCAATAAAAACTTTCCACGTGTTGTCATGTGTAAGTCGTGGTCCCACCAGAAAAAAAACTAAAAAAACATTTTATTTTAATGCGTGACTCGGCCCAAATCAGGCCATTGCTTCAAAATTTTATTAAGATTTTTTGTGGAGTTATTGAGGTTTGTTGTGATGTTATTTGAGTAGTATTGCGACTACTATGGTGTTATTGTAATTTTTTTTGTGGTGTTATTTGAGTGATATTGTATTTTTTGTTATGAGGTGGTATTATTAAGGTTTTTTGTGGTGTTATTAAGGTTTATTATGGTGTTGTTAGAGTGGTATTGCAACTTCTATGGTGTTGTAGTTTTTAGTGTTGTTAGAGTGGTATTGCAACTTCTATGGTGTTATTGTAGTTTTTTTGTGGAGTTATTGAGGTTTATTTGGTGTTATTGTGGTTATTTAGTGTTATTGCAATTTTTTGTGGAGTTATTGAGGTGTTATTAGGGTTTATTGTGGTATTATTTGAGTGATATTGTGATTGTTGTGATGTATTCTGATTTTTTTGTGAAGTTATTGGGGTTATTTAATGTTATTACGGTTTTTTGTGGAGTTATTGAGACATTATTGAGGTTTATTATGATGTTATTTGAGTGGTATTGCGACGGCTATGATGTTATTGTAATTTTTTGTACTGTTATTTGAGTGACATTACATTTTTTTGCAGGTTAGTGTTATTGCGGTTTTTTTTTGTGGAGTCGTTGACGTATTATTGAGATTTATTGTGGTGTTATTTGAGTGGTATTGCAGCGCTTGTGGTGTTATTATGGGTTTTTGCCGTGTTATTTGAGTGATATTGTGTTTTTTTACAGGCTGGTGTTATTGCAGTTTTTTGTGGTGTTATTGATGTTTATTGCGTGTGTTATTTGATTGGTATTGTGACGCCTGTGGTGATATTTTTGAGTGATGTTATTTCAGTGTTATAATTGTGTTTTTGCGGTATTATTTTGATATTATTATGATATTATTTTAGTTTTATATGAGTGGTATTGCGACGAATCTATTGTGTTATTCTCTACTAGAATTATTATGGTGTTATTGATATGTTATTTGTGTTTTTTTTATGGAGTATTAAGGTCATTTGATGTTCTTGTGGTTACTTGGTGTTGTTGTGGTTTTTTGTGGAGTTATTGAAGTGTTATTAAGGTTTATTGTGGTGTTATTTGAATAGTATTACGACGGTTGTGATGTTTTGATTTATTTTTATGGATTTATTGAGGCTATTTAATTTCATTGGAGTTATTTAATGTTATTGCAGTTTTTTTGTGGAGTTATTGATGTTTGTTATTGTGTTATTTGAGTGTTGTTGTGCGAGTTGTGATATTATTTCAATTTTTTTATTGAGTTGTTGAGGTTATTTGGTATTATTGTTGTTTTTTTTGGAGTTATTGAGTTGTTACAAAAGTTTATTGTGATGTTATTTGAGTGTATTACGGCTACTGTGATGTTATTGCGATTTTTTTTTTGGAATTATCAAGATATTACGGCTACTGTGATGTTATTGCGATTTTTTTTGGAATTATCAAGTTATTGATATTATTGTGATTATTTGTGTTATTGTGATTTTTTTTTGAGTTATTTTTGAAATTTATTGATGGAGTGAGAAAAAAGTGAATATACACGAAAAGAATTTGATTGGACTGGATCACATGTTAAAATATATAATTGAGTCGATGTAATATTTTTTACGGTTCCTAGCCTTAAAAAACTGTACTGTGAAGTTAGGAAAGATTGGCGGAGTGGAGTGCAGATGCAAGAAGGTATGCTTGCTGTGCGCAGGCCAGCCCGTGGTACACCAGAGAGCCGCGACGAGGAGGGCACCAAGACGCGGAAGACAGCCTTCCATCTCGGCGGATTAGCAGCCAGACTATTTAACTTCCGGTCGGAGAACTTCCATATTGGACTTCCCCTCGTCATCTCCCTTCTCCTTCTTTTCCTTTTCGTTGCCTTTCTCCTTATTCAAGATTTGTCCCGCCCGGCCGTCTGCATCTACTCCGACGCCCGTTCTTCTCTCTTTTCCCCCGGTGGAGTTGGTCTCGCCTTCAATTTCGGATCCCTCGGTATTCCTTGGTGTAAGATTCTCCCCTTTCGATCGGAATTATGAAGAATTTCCTATACATTTACATATCTAACATCGAAAGTTTCATATTTACATGCAGACAGGTCAAATATTTGACATCATATAAAAAATACTGCTGTAATTAACTTTGAAATACACCTTTTTATGCATAATTTTTTAATACATTTAAATAGGGTTTTGGATGGATTTAACTGAAAATTAAGCCAATTAGGGTCTCCTTAACTCCTTAAGATTTAAGTGGGCGTCGGATTTAGTTGTGCACATTTTTTGGGTTTGGATGGATTTACAGTAAAATTGATGTAAATCATATTTAGAACCCTCTACCGAACACTCCCTAATAGATATTGGTATCTAGAAGTTTGGAATTGACTTTTCTCATATGATTTTTGGTGTATTCAGCAGCCTTATGTTGAGTGAGAACTCCAAGTGCGATTCCTTTAGATTTATGAGTTGTGTTCTTGTTTTGTTTGTTCTGCATTTGTTAGAATTTGGAAAAAAAAATCTAAGATGAGGCTTTTTTCCTTTTATTTTACCATTGTCATTGGACTTGCGATGAAGGTGTTTACCATCCACAATTTGGAAATTAAGGTTTCATTGCCGGGATTTTTTCCGTTTCTTTTTTACCCAGTCCAACAGAGTATGTTTTGAATTTGTAGAAGTTGGAGGTAATGCTAATGCCTTTTACTTCACAATTTTGTGTTCGATTCTATCCTAATTAATAGATAATTGGATTTACTTCAGAAATCCGAACAGCTGCATTTTTTTTCATTGAAAATTCTCTACCCAACACTGGTGATAGAAAAGAAAAAAATTTGTCAGGCCAACATTGTCACTCACATGTTCCATCGTATGAAGTAAAACCTAGTTTCCCATCAAACAAACTAGGAAATAATATTTATTTCACTAAATTTTTCTTCTGAAAATCAAGCGGTGAAAACTAATTTCACTTAAATTTTTTGACCATTTCTATTTTGATTTGATTTTAAATTGCATCTTTTATTTCCTTCAAATCAAACAAAGCCATAAGTAGTATTTATAAAATCTTTTATTTGAAAGGCCTGAGAAAGCATTTTGTTAGTGCCATTTTTGGCATTAAAGTTTGTGTATATGTAAGAGCAAGTCTCTATAATATATTATAATTTGTTTATAGACTAAAAGAAATAAAATAATACTCAATTTTTAGTTCAAACTTGATTTTAAAAAGTCATTGAGGTTGATTTAATAAGCTTTTATGGATCATTTTGTTCTCCTGGTAGGCCATCTTTTTTTATTGTGAGATAGATTGTTGACTTGAATCATACTTGTATGGTGGCTTGCTTTTTTTTTTCTTTGTTCTCAAAAGGCAGATCAAAACAAGGAAAGACTGTTGAATGGACAAACAAGGATTTGCTTAAAGGGTTAGAGGAATTTGTACCCATCTATGAGACACGACCTATCAAGAATAACATGTATGGAATGGGCTTCGACCATAGCTTTGGACTCTGGTTTATGGCGCGTTGGCTGAAGCCAGATTTGATGATCGAGAGTGGTGCTTTCAAGGGGCATTCAACATGGGTATTGCGGCAGGCCATGCCTGATAAACCAATCATATCTCTCACACCTCGTCACCCAGAAAAGTATCTAAAGAAGGAAGTTGCTTATGTTGATGGTAACTGCACTTATTTTGCCGGGAAGAACTTTGTGGATTTTGGAAGCGTTGAATGGGACAATGTACTAAAAAAGCAAGGAATTTTGAATAATAGTCGGGTGCTTGTCTTCTTTGATGATCACCAGAGTGAACTAAAGAGGTATAAACAAATATAATATACAATTTATAATGATTTCCTTTAGATATGTCTGACAGTCTGGATTTGTTTAAAAACCAGAGTGGACCGGCTGGTTTTACCAGTTTAACTGTGAGCCTCTCATTTGGCTAGTTTGGTCCAAACTCAAAATTATTTTAGCACAAAATTGGAATTGATCCCATCATAACTGGGGTTGAACAAGTGAACCGATGAACTGGTCATGTTTTTAAAGAAGTAGTCGGTTCTAATTTTGTCTAGTTTTAGACTTTTGATTTTGAATAGGTGCTACAAATAATTTATTTTAATTAAAAATAGAGAAATTATCTTGTCTTAAAATTTTGAATTAGAATATTATTCAAAATATTAAAAAGTAAAGTGTCTAAACTTATAATATTATTATCTTGAATCGATAACAAAAATCATTGCATCATTATTATATCATTGTAAGGATATTAATTGTTTGATTCAACTCCTGTTGAAACATTAAACCTTGAAGCTCTCCTTCAGGTTTGTTGTCTGTTCCCATTTTTATGACCTTATTTTTGAGTGTTACCTTCTGGAGAGGGGAATACTTTTTGTGGTATTTAAGTTTTTTTGCATTGTCTTTTGAACACTTTAGGTTTTCTATTTCCTTTCGTTAACAACCATTTCCATTATTGTAATGATGCCTTGGAAGATTATCTATATGGATAATGCTTACACTCAGGATTGTGTTTTTCTAGTGTTTTTTTTTTCTGAGCATATGTAATTTTGGCTGTAGATTGAAGCAGGCTCTGAAGGCTGGTTTTCGCCATCTCATCTTTGAGGATAATTATGACACGGGGACTGGAGATCATTATTCTTTAAGACAGATATGTGATCAATATTACATCAGAGGTAAGCGGTGAATTCATTTTAGATGTATGTATCTGAAGGAAAACTCCTAAAGTTATATTTATTAATGTTTAATCCACAAACTTGCCTTTTTGCTACAATTTATCTGTGTTTTCTAGCAGAATAACCAAACACTAAGCTTCACTATAATTGTAAGTGTAAAACTATTCCTAGATTATAAACATTCTGTTGGATACTTGATCGTTAGTTTGATAACCTATTTTTTTAATGCAAGAGCTGCTTAAGATTTGTCCTTATTTGTTGAACATGCTCATTACTATTCAGGGCTCTTAATAAATATTTCATTTGAATATTATCTTTAAATATATTATCAAAATCATTGATGTTGATCTATAACCTAAGGACAACTTGGAAATCTAATTTGATTTCATTTTAAAAATATTTTACTAGTTATTAAACTTGATGAAAAAATGAACTACTTGTAATGCACCTCACTAAAAATTCCGCTTTACTAAACTTCATTTCAAAGCAAATCAATCCAAAATTTTTCTAGATATCACGTGCACACTAAAAGAATTTCTATCAAATTGATTTCTTCTACATTAGAAATAGTTGAATCGTTTATCTCATTATTTAGAAACTTTTATTAGGTTGTTATATTTACATACTTGATGTTGGGTAAATCATTTTGAATTTTCATGAAATTTAATTCCAAGTTATTTTTTTATGCAAGTAAAAAATGAGCATGCTCAATTTGCAAATTAATGTTACATGCTTGAAAAAGTTAGCTAAAATAAAATCTTACAATATAATATCTATATCTATATATATATGTGTGTGTGTGTGTGACCTGACTCATTTGTGTGGCCTTTGACGTAAGTCACTCGGGTCGGGGGTGAATCTCGTGGAGCGGGCTCTTCGAATTAAAATATATATATATATATGTGTGTGTGTGTGACCTGGCTCATTTGTGTGGCCTTTGACATAAGTCACTCGGGTCGGGAGTGAATCTCGTGGAGCGGGCTCTTCGAATTAAAAGCAAGCACACTAGGGTTTTCAACCCTTATGGGGGATCGATATTTGGTGCCCGCTGACCAAATATTGATTCACCTTTTAATATATATATATATATATATATGAAGACCTTGAAGAGATTACAACAGAGATAAAGTGTCATAACATAACTCATCTAACAAGACGACTTGTTGATCTTATTTTTTGGTGAGGGCTAAATTTTTCTCCTAGAACTTAGGATCTAGCTATAAGTCTTTTCTATTGACTATCCTAGAAAACTAGTGATGAGACCCACCCCACTTAGAAGTTCAAACTGCCTCCTGGTTTTTTTGTGAAGTCTCACATGGATGGTCTCAAACCTTCAACACTTGGTTGAGTTGTTTAAGACCAACATGATGAAACTCAAGGAGAGTTCCCATAAGATCATGAGGCCTTAGTATGATCCTGAGTGACTTGGTTGTCTCACACTCCATCACTACACTCACATCACCCAATTCCCATCAAAATTTACCAAATTTCTTAAAAATCCCAATATTACCAATATTCCTAAATTGCTCGATTTTCAAAAAAATTGCCCAAATTACCCAAATTCATTTCAAATCTACCAAAATCCAAAATCATATCCAATCCCACCCAATTTCAAGCCCAAATTCAAAATAACCAAAAATTCTAATCAAACTCATCCCAAGTCCACCCCAAACTCAAGTCCACCAAATTCAAACATAATCTCACCCAAAGTCCAAAATGCATCAAGTTTAAACGCACCAAGTTCTTAACCCAAATTCAAACCAATTCAAGACCATCTAATTTCAAGTCTATAGTCAAATCCACCCAAGTTCACCCCAAGTCCAAAACTCACCAAAATTGAATCCTCATGCCAAATCCAACTTCACGAGGCTCATGTGCCAAAATTCATCATGATAAATTCTAAATTTCGCCAAGCCCATCATGAATGACTTAAACACCAACATCTCATAACCCATCCTAAAAGCCCACTAACCAAGCCCAATTTTCTTTTTCTTTTAAAACCAAAAGCCACCTACCTTAGAATGAAATCCTTCCCCTCATCCTTTTGATTAAAATCAAACCCTAAATCCTAAAATTCATGATTGAGTTTTCTTAAAATGGTTTCATGATGACCCTTCACAAAATACAAAAATTCTAAAAAACCCTTAAGAAAATTGCCCAAGCCGCATGCAACCCTTGAAGCCTCCCCCAAGTCATATGTGAGCTATGATTAGCTTTGACATGTCATCAATCCTAAAGTGGCAAAAGTAGGGAATTCTTTTAAGATTCCTTAAAATGCATTTAACCCTTCTTATGACTCACTCTAACCCATGTTTAAGCCCTAATCTCTATGATAGAAACTTAACCATTCAAGCTCCAAGGTTGGCCATCAAACCAAGACACCTTGGAGGCGACCCAAGCCCATTTCCATGAGCCAAACTCAAGTCAAACCCAAAAAGGGCCCAAACCCCTTTCCATTATTATTCACCACACATACCTATGCTTCAACCCAGTTGACTTCACCAATCTCTACCTCTGGCTTTCCATAGCTAGAAAGTGACCTCCCATACATTGGCCGGCCACCATGACTGCCGGAAAACCCAAATAAAAAAGCTACCGCCATGGCTCAAACTCAAAATTAAACCTATTCAATGTGGCTCACTCCCATTGGACTTTTTCCCTTGTTCCCTCCACATAAGCGCCGCCTTTGCACCCCTTTCCCTAGCCAATTGAAGTCCTTGGCCAAGCCTATAAAATCGCCACCCCTTCACGGCCAAAATTGGAGTGTGCACAAAACTTGAGGAAATCGTGCCAAAATCATTCCAAACCTTCATTACACTCATACGAAGCTCATCCCTACCATCTTTAGTCATTCTTCCCCACTGATAAACCCTAATTTTCCAATTGAAAACCTGGACATTTTTGGTCATTCCATCAAAACCCACAAAATTTCAAATTGGTCCTTTCTTAAGCTTCTTCATAGCCTAAAACCATTTCTACAATCAAAGGCCCCTCTCCCGCATCCCCTAGTCTAGTGCTAGACCAACGATCCACCATTTGGTCTAGG